ACCCCAAACCCTAAAACCCCAAACCGCAAACCCTATAGACCCCAAACCCTAAACCCCAAACTCCCAGAGAGTCGCAGCACCTGGTACTCGCGGGCGGAGTAGGTGGCCAGGATGGCTAAGGTCTCCATCCTCGGCTGCTTTTTAAGGCTTTTTAGGGCTTTTTAGGGTTTAGGGTTTTTAGGGTTTTTAGGGTTTTTAGGGTTTTGAGGGTTTTGAGGGTTTTAGGGGTTCCTTTAAAGGGATCTATAAGGGTTTAGGGCTTTTAGGGCCTTTAGGGGTTCCTTTAAAGGGATCTATAAGCGTTCAGGGCTTTTTGGGGCTTTTAGGGCTTAGGGTTTGTAGGGTTTAGGGTTTATGGGTTTAGGGATTTGGGGGCTTTTAGGGTTTAGGGTTTTCGGGTTTAGGGTTTATGGGTTTAGGGATTTGGGGGTTTAGGGCTTAGGGGAGACTTTAAGGAGCCGAAATTAAGCTACGATGATAAGGAAACCCTACCATTCGCTAAGGAATCCCCCTAAGGAATGTGACTCAAGTTACCATGATAAGGAAAAAAACTATTCTTCACTCTATATATATATATATACATATATACATATGTATATATATATATATATATCCCCATTTTATGGTGACTTCAAAGTAGATTCCTCAATTAACAGCAACCCAGCATCCAGTGGGCCAAGTTGGAGTTGGCGACCTCAGAGCTTCTCTTCGGAACTGTTCTTGGCCCTCTTGAGGGAGGGGGGGTTTAGGGTTTAGGGTTTAAGGGAATTTTTAGGCTTTAGGGTTTAAGGGAATTTCTAGGGTTTAAAGGATTAGGATTTAGGGTTTAAGGGATTTTTAAGGTTACCGGGATTGGATTTGGGCTTTTTGTTAAGTGGGTCACGCCTTTGACTCCACAAAAACGCTGCCTTGTAGGCTACCACTCGGTGAAGCAATCAGCTTGCCACCCCATCAGAATCTGCCCCCTTGTGTGTTTCGACCGATGGTGTAGGAGTACGTGATCGGGCGTAAGGGATTTTTAGGGTTTAAGGGATTAGGATTTAGGTTTCAAGCGATTTAAGGTTTCAGGGACTAGGAGTTGGGGATTAAGGCTTTGGGGTTCAGGGATTTGGGGATTTGGTTTAGGGTTTCAGGGTTTAGAGTTTAGGGTTTAGGGTCCAGGGCTCTTTTCGGGCTTTAGGGCTAGCGCGCTGGAGCTCTTTGTGCGCAGCAGAATGGGTCCCCCGGCCATCTTGCTAAAGTCGTTGGTCATGATGTTCCCGACCGTCGTCAGGAAGGTGTCGCCCTGCGGGATTTCAATCATGGATTATCGGATCCTCAAGGGAGGGTGGTTCAAGCCGGGAGGGTCCCTAGGGATCCTTAGGGAGCTTTAGGGAACCTAAGGGAGCCCTGGCGAGAATTGGGGATTATTGGGTTATATACCCCCCTTAGAACCCCCTCCCTTAAGGATTCCATAACATGGAACTACACAAGCCAGCCCAAGACTGTCCGGAGAAAAGCTGCCGCCGTGACGGCGCTAAGCGTAAATAGCACTGAGACCGCACTGAGAAGACAAGGGCGAAAACGGTTCTTGCAAGGGTTGTACTGCTCTCCGAAACCCTAAACCCTAAACCCTAAACCCTAAACCCTAAACCCTAAACCCTCTCTGCTCACAAGAGTGGCGGCCGAGAGACAAGACTGCAAGACTTCCATCCTCAATCCCTAAACCCAACTAGTCGCTAGCCCAAACCCTAAACCCTAGAACCCAAAAAACCCTAAACCCTAGAACCCAAAAAACCCTAAACCCTAGAACCCAAAAAACCCAAAAAACCCTAAACCCTAGAACCCAAAAAACCCTAAACCCTAGAACCCAAAAAACCCTAAACCCTAAACCCCTAACCCTAATTCCCAAACTCCTGGACCCTCAAGTCCTGAACCCGCTTCGAATTGGGGGAGCTCCTGGAGGCGTAAAACCCTAAACCCTAAACCCCAAACCCCCCCAAAAAAAACAAACCCCTAACCCTAAAGCCCCAAGTCCTGGGGCCTTAAATCCTAAACCCTCAACCCCAAAAGAAACAACAAACCCAAACCCAAGTCCTAAACCCTAAACCCAAACCCCCAAACCCAAAAAAAAACAAAAACCCTAAACCCAAAAAACGCTAGACCCCAAAAAAACCCAAACCCTAAAGCCCCAAGTCCTGGAGCCTCAAATCCCTAAAACCCTAAACCCAAAAAGCCCTAAACCCTAAACCCTAAACCCTAAACCCCTAACCCTAAAGCCCCAAGTCCTGGAGCCTTAAAAACTAAACCCTAAACCAAAAAAACAAAAAAAACACGTCCTGGAGCCTTAAATCCTAAACCCAAACCCCTAAACCCTAAACCCCAACTCCTGGAGCCGCAAATCCCTGAACCCGAGTTCCTGGAGGCGAAGGTACTCGTCCCTTGCGCGAGTCCAGAGGGTGATGCCGCCGCCAGAGGCCAGGAGCAAGGCCTCTCCGGAGGATTTTTGGCCGGGTTTCGGGTTTAGGGCTTTTTTTGGGGTTTAGGGTTTTTTGGGTTTCGGGTTTAAGGCTTTTTTGGGGGTTTAGGGCTTTTTGGGTTTCGGGTTTAGGGCTTTTTTGGGGTTTAGGGTTTTTTGGGTTTCGGGCTTAGGGCTTTTTTTGGGGTTTAGGGTTTTTTGGGTTTCGGGCTTAGGGCTTTTTTGAGTTTTAGGGTTTTTTTGGGTTTCGGGTTTAGGGCTTTTTTGGTGTTTAGGGTTTTTTGGGTTTCGGGCTTCGGGCTTTTTTTGGGGTTTAGGGTTTTTTGTGTTTCGGGCTTAGGGCTTTTTTGAGTTTTAGGGTTTTTTTGGGTTTCGGGTTTAGGACTTTTTTGGGGTTTAGGGTTTTTTGGGTTTCGGGTTTAGGGCTTTTTTGAGTTTTAGGGTTTTTTTGGTTTCGGGTTTAGCGCTGTTTGGGGGCTTCCTAATTTAGCTTTCCACAC